CCTTGTCTCCGCACACTTACACAACTCATTAGATTAAAAAGGCACATGATGACAAAAAAAAAGAATCAGGATATCGTTCCAAACGTCATGTGCCCTTTGTTATAGTGTTGTATATAGGTCACAATAATTCCTCCATTTCATGGGGAGGACTCAATCTTAGATAACTGCTCAAAAATAATTGCTTAGAAATGAAAAACTATGTAACATAACAAGACAGAAATCATATGCATACAGATGCACAGAAGTTTGAAACTTGCTGTGTAGGGGTTGGAATATAGAATATTAGACCCACAATTCAATATTATTGTGATTCTTAACATATTGCAATACAGCAAGTATTGTGATTTGATTCTGCGATATATTGAGATTCATGTAACTCATGTCAGTGAAAGGCATTACAAAAATTGGGGAAAATTAGACAGTGCAAACACTTAGAAAGGTATAGAAAAACGTTATCTTTGAACATTCAGGACACAGGACCTTATTACAAGACATCCTTATTCTCTGAATCAGTGACCTCTCACATGAATGCTCCCAGCACATCACTTAAATTATTCAAATACAATAGGATAGAGTAACAAAAAGGAGACATAGTAGAGAAAAATAGGGTAAACTCAGAGAAAGCACAAAAGTAATTTGTATAATAATTCATTATTGCATTAGTTTGCTATACTGTATTGATTTAATTGTGTGCGCAAAATATTTCAATACCCACCACTAGTGTATTGTATGTAAGCCTTTATAAATGTAACAAAGAAAATACATTTTAAGTGCATTCACGATTCGCCTGGGTGTCAAAAATAAACTATAATAATGCAATAAGAGAAAAAAACAGCTTGATTTTTATACACAAACACCACTCAACCCCTTATTATAAAAGATTAAATCAGAAATAATACTCACAAATTGTCTTTAGCTCAGAGAAGCACACACACTCCTCACTAAATGTCCAAGTCCCAAAGTCTTCTGCAGCTGAAATGACTCACATCCCCTCAACCTCTGTCAACCACCAGGACCGCGCGGGTAAACATGTCCAAATAAGGGGAAAATATGGAGACACCATTCAGGGCAATATCACTTTGGTTTTGCTTTTGGCCTGGAATGCCACAGTCCCTGAGCAAAGCCAGTCTTGTGGTGCATACCTTTCACTAGAAATAATAATGATGATGATTGTGGAGAGCAGCCGTTGGTTTCGGGGTACAGTCTGACCCAAGGTAGAAGCGTTGTGCTGAGGCCTTGTGAAGCCCGTACTTAGTCATAATGCCAGAAGTACGTGTAAAGGAAAGATGTTTGTGGTGTTGGAAAAGTTAGTGGCACAATACTTAACAAAAATACATTACTGGATAAAGTTTAAAACGGCATTAGGATGGATATCAATTAATTTGGGCTGTCAAACGATTAACATTTTTAATCGAGTTAATTATAGCTTAAAAATGTATTAATCGTAATTAATCGCATTTCAAACTATTGGCAAAATGATGTCATATTTTTCTGTAAATGGTTGTTCAAATTGAAAGATAAATGACAGCATAGTGTACATATGTACAGTATTTGTTTATTATAACAATAAATCCACATAAAATGGCATTAACGTTATTAACATTCTGTCTTTCTGTTTAGACTCAGACCAAAACTATTGTTTGTTACAGATGAGGGACATTTCAAAACAGTCTGAAATGTAGAATGTCATTAAATCTGTCATGAACTAGTAGTGGAAGGGAAAATTAGGTTTTTTTAGCGTGTGCGCTGAGGAGACACAGAGGAGACTGAGATTCCATAGTCCAGCTTATGCGCTGTATTTTTTGTGTGCACCAGTTATGCAAAGACACGCACATTACAATCAGAGAATAGTTCTGCGTGGCCTCTGATATGATCACGTTACGCGGCGCCGTTCGCCGTGATCACCGCCGCTGAAGGAACTGCTGTCCAGAGCGCCCACAGCTCAGCTTGCAGAGTTCATACAGGAAACGCGTGTATTCTTTTAAAACTTGAATTCCCAGAGACCTGCTCTGTTGCCATCTCACACAAACGTGTCCGTGGCATTCTGAGTGTTATTATGGGATGCATGGGCATGCATTAACTGCGTTAATTTGTTAACGCGATTAATGAAAAAAATTAATTAACGTGCGTTAACGCGATCATTTTGACAGCCCTACCTATCAGCCCTACCTATCCCCCGAGATAACTACCGTACTGCTAACTACTGTTAAGGTATACAAAATAAATTGGTATGAAGACTATAGACGATCAATCCAATATCTAAAAACTGGACTGAATTGGACAAAATTAATTTAAGTGAGAATGAAAATTTTTGAACACGTAAGAGATCCTTTAATTCGTCCCACAGTGGGGAGAAAAGACAAGCACTGGTTAGACCTGGTCATGTTCACCTCTGCAGCTCTGATACATGGTCCCCCTCATGAGCCCAACTGAAACTTGTGTTGTTGTGACATCCCATACAGTAATACTATGTGGGGAACCCTGACCCGGCCTCTCTCTTCCTCCCTTTCCCCACCATGTGTGCTGTTGTGTGTGTGTGCATGTGTGTGTACGGTTTATTTTCTGTTGTCTCTGCTGTCATTATAGGTTCTCTGGTAAGTTCATCTAGAAGGCTGAGGAGGCATTACTTAAGTTAGCATGCTTACTTTAACTGTTCATTGTCGAGACTCATTTACCAATCTATTTTGTGTGTCTGCTTAAATCACATAAAAACAAGTCCTGTGTAATTCCCTGTATTTCCTTGTGTTGACTCCCTATGCACTGTTCACATAAATACAAACAAATGCTCATAGAGATACATTCTTTCCTGCCCCTTGTGGGCTACACTTCCACAATAAAAAATACATACAATGGAATACATGGATACAATACATAAAAATACATATATACTTTTAAAAATCAGCAGCTTAGACATTTAAAGTAAATAACTGACCTAGACATTTTTTTTTTCCTATTCAAAAGAGTGTATGCAAACTTCCGGTCTCCACTATAGTATTAGCAAAGCGTTCCTTACAGTCTTCAGTATCAGTAGCACAGGCAGCTAACAGGAACACGCGGAGGAGGAATGTTTTTCAGCACTTTATGACTTAATTTGACAAACGGGGACAGATTAAAAGGTAAGGCTATAGCCCAGTTACCGCAAGGAGTCTCCAGATTGTCTTCAAGTGATTAAGGATGTGTAATTAAAGTTGGGTAAGTCCCTATGAGCGGCGCAGGTCAGAGAGATCATGTAATATTAACAACCACAGAGACTAGAGCTCCAGCTAGATCTGTGTTTCCTGAAACGGAACAACCCACTTCGTCCAAATCCCCCGAGGAGCGGGCGGCTTTTAGACAAATGAAATACATAAACGCTTACGCCGCCGTAAAAGCAATGAGATGACTTAAGAGAGAGCAATTAGACACAGAGCAGGTGTCCACTGGTAGTTGTGAAATATTAAAACTTAAAACTGCACGGGCCCAAGCAAGTGGGAGAATTTAGGGATACTTGATACGTCAATCGCAAATGTAAAGGTTGGTCGTTTGGACAGCGCATACTCAAAAGAAAGAAGAAAAGTCCCCCATGAGAGCATGATTAAAGTATAGACCAGTAGAGGTGTGAGTGTTTCTGTCAAATAATAGGAGCACTAAGCAGTTATAAGTGACATTTACAATATGAGAATAACCACACAAGCATTTCTGGGCATGTATGCATACTTTTTAATTCAATGTATTTATGAACAGCCCTAAACTACAACAGCAGTGATCTCAGAAGGAGATATAAGGTCGTCAACAACATATCAGAGAATCAAACGGTTCAAACTCAGGAAATGCAATAAAAACAAGCACACAGGAGCCATTGGGCCATTGGGAGCGACAGACCACTGTCCATAAATATGAATAAACTGATTAACAGTTTATTAACTGTTGATGCTCATTACTTGATCCTGAATCACATGCATCATGAATCAAACCAAATGTTGCATAAGAAATATTCCAATTCGATGTCCAATGTCTCACTATCATATTCAGCCTGTCCATCAAAGTCACAAAACCACTTGAATGGGTTGTACACTATTCATTTTTATCCGGGTTTGCATTTATGGAGATTTATGGTCTTTGGTCATCCTGCTTCCTATGGACCAATGGCTCCTACAGTATGTTGCCGTGTTTCCTGTGTTTAAACATTTGGTTCTCTGATCAGTTGTTCAGAAATCGGCACTTTGTAAAGTTCTCCACAATGACTACTGTTGTGATTTAGGGCTACAAAAACTACGCTACACAAATACATCACCAATCTCATTAAACCACAATACAATATACATTTTCAATCCATCCATTGGTTTTGTCATACACAAAAACCTCATAGTCATTAGGCTTATGGTTAAAATACCCAATTTCTTTTCTCAGTATTTATTTTAGAATCCATTATGAATCTCTTCCAAAAGCCATCCATCCATCCATCTTCTTCCCTTTAATCCATTTCTGGGTCAGGGGGGTGGCAGTCAGAGATGCCACCCAAGTCTCATAGCACCAGCCCCTCACTGACCCTCTGCAGGTGGTGAGTCCACAGGAGGACGGCTGCTCTCTGACTGTGAGCATAGCCTTGATCTTTCAGTGGGGGCTTTGGGCAAAGTGGGGTTAAGTGTCTTGCCCAAGGACACAACGACAGCAGTCATCAGTGGGAGTCGGTGGAGAAGGTGCAGAGGTGGGAATTGAACCCACAACCTTCTGGGCTTAAGGCCAATGCTCTACCAACTGAGCTACTGTCGCCCCTTCTTCTTCCAAAAGCCATCTAATCAAAACTTTTCCAAAGGCCTGACAAATCAGATATCAAAAACTGTCTGGACATTGAAGCTCATATTGCTTCATCCACCCAGATTAACATTTACATGATTCTGAATGGCAAAGAAGGCTGAAAATGTGAAGTTTGACTTTCATAATCAGTTGGTCGCCCACAGTCGGTTATAAAACGTGATTCAAACTTTTCAGAATCAAGACAAAAATAATTAAAATCTCACCTTCTTCTTATTTGAAATTTTGGACGCCAAGATGTATGCTGAGTTGATGTCTTGAATCTGTTGAGAAAGAAATGTTTTACTGAAATAAATTGCGCAAACACATACAGCAGAATTTCAAACCACTCCAAGATATAAGCTCCAAGTCCGTAGTACTGTGCAGGCCAGGTGCAATAACAATTATGTTTTATTTTAGTTGAATTCATTAGATCATACAAATGTTTATCATTCTTCAGTTTCCCCGATGTGAAGTGGATGGAACACTGATGACCTTTTAGCTTCCATGTAACTGGCGTCACAGTTGACAAATCAAATCAGAGGCTGATCTGGTTGTTTAAATTTTTGCATTTGTCACTCTTTCGTTTTCCTTTGATCCACACTATCTCTTTGATATGTCGGCGTTTGAAATCTTCAAATCTATGATAGTAAATTTAGTTTTTGAGTTATAACCTTTGAAAGTCCAGATACTATAATTGACACTTAACTGTGAACACACCCATATATTACACATTAATAACCAGTAATCATAAAATTCAGGCTTCTTATGACCAACACACTTAAAAACAACCCTGACATTTTCGATATTAACATATTCATCTAGAAAAGATTACTTCTTCCGCAAATATGACTAAAAAAATAGTTTAAACTTTTACTTTTATCATTTGATTTTAGGCAAGCTAAATTATGTTGACATGCTATCTAAGCGACTGCATGTAGTTACATTAAAAAGATGGCTACACCAGATTTAGCATCAGGCTATCTTCTATCGAACACTTCGGTAGCAGCAGTTTTGTTTAGCGTAGCGATGCTAAGTTAACCTGAATGACAATCAAAGCAAATGTTGTAGAAGTGGTATTTATATGAAAAACTATTGACACGGCGGTGTCAATATATGGTGACAAGATCTCCAAAGAAACGAGATAAGTCTGAAACACAGTTTACTGTCCCACTAGAGCAGGGGTGTCGAACTGCTTCCAGAAAGCGCCAGTGTGGCTGCAGGTTTTTGTTCCAACCAGACAGAAGCACGTAGACTCTCACTCAACCCATTTCCTCAAGTCTTCAAGTTAAGACTGGACTCACTTGAGGAGATGGTTGGAGTCTGCTGTGCTCCTGCTTGGTTGAAATTAAAGCCTGCATCCACAACGGCCCTTTGAGGACCGGATTGAGATTTTAGTTGGCTTCTTTGAGCCACCGCACTTTGATCAAAAATAGGAAAACAGGCAAGTAAACTGGTCAATTTTATTTTTCATTGTGCTAAATTTGGACATTTTTGATTTGCGTCTTTGTTTTGCTAAAGCTAGAGATTTTATACGTGCTTATTTGTTATAATAAAGTTTATATTTATTTCATTTTTGGTGATTCAGATTAGGATTAATCTTAAACTAATCAGGACATGCAATTCAGAGTGAACAGCTTTAAGATACAAAAAGATACTTGTATTCTTTTTTTTTTATCTTTAGCAATATGGTAATCTTGACGACCAAACTTGTATTTGGATTTGGTTGCAATTAATCCCACAGCCTTTTTAATCATCTGACATCATCACGCAGACCTATCCTCTTTGATTTCCGTTTTTTAGCTGTACTCCTTAATTCCGAGCAAGCTGCTAGCTCTGCTTGGCAGGTGATTTCTGATGCAACCAAAAAGCTACTTTGCTAAAAATCAGACGTACACTATCTGCTGCAATGAACCTGCAAAGCAATGTTGTAACGTTACAATATAGTTCTGACTCTGAGCACTTTTATTTTAAATGTTTACGCAACCGAAAGCAAGACAATGTTAGCAGGTGAGGAGGGGAAATGAGATGTCAATGGGCAGTGATTTAAATCCAACTGTATGCAAGACAGAATGAGGACAAGCCAGAAGCTAATCTGAAGAAAATATAAACACTTGGGTCTATGGGGTTAAGTGATGACATATGACGGATCCACCCTTCATGTGTGAATGAGAGGTTCCACAGGTCTGTCCTTCCTGCTGCTGTCAGACTGCACCACGAACAATGAGGACTAACAAACGCTGCCGATCTGATCTCACATGTCGTGCATCTGTGCAATAATTTGCTACATAATGTATAATGTAAGAATGTGCAATATAGAACTACATGTCTAACCACACCCACAAGTTATAAATCTCCAACTCACAGCCGAACTTCCATTCCCTTGAAAAAGTTATTTGAAGAAGAATGAAACGCCGGGAAAACCTGCAAACTGAAGTAGAGATAATGGGTGAGAAACCTTCTTTTGTTTTGACTAATCACCGTATGACTGAGAGCTTGCACAAACTTAGAACCACATGTGTCACTGTCACTATACTTAGCCACTTAGTCCAGACCTTCATGATGCTAACATGTACAGATACAAGTCCAAGATTTTATACTTAATTTTTGCTTCAACATTACGCTAAAGCTACAGATGTTACACTTGTAAAGATTTTATTCCTTAAATTTTAGTATAGTTATTGTTAACTTTTGCTGTATGCTTTTCATTCCTACAGTTCTGTAACTGGTGATGTAACACTGATATTTCCCCAACATGGCACGAATAAAGTAGCCTGGCCTTAGACAATAATTATTTACCTATACTTTGGTTGTATCGTATTCGGCCATTCAGCGAGAGGGGGAGGCGGGTGTTGAAGGTAAGTGTCAGTGGCGTCAAAAGTTTGCACCAAATTTAGTGGTTGTAGTTTGGCAATGGCAGCAAATGTAATAGTAAAATAATCTGTTTTTATTCGGCTACCAAATATCAATACATTTACACCGGAGCAAGAGGAATGTTTAGCGAAGTTCATTGCTGGCCAAGATGTTGTGGCTCTACTCCTCAAGGGCTCCACTAGTGGCAAAGGAGATGGCTAAAGCTAGGCTAAAGGCTAAATGCCTCACTCACTCGGGCTCATTACATAATCAGAATAAGAATCATTTTTATTGCCACGTAAGTAACAGGATGTCACAGACTTGGAAATTGCTTTGGCTCAGTGCAACAGTCAAAAAGAGATAATAAAAATAAGAATAAAAACACTTCTAAAGAATAAATTTAAATTTAAAATAGAGTTACAGTTACTATTTACAATATACAAGTCACGGTAAACACAGATCCAATTGTTTCAATCTGAGCAAGGAGTCAAACCCTCCAACCTGTTAACAGAGCTTAATGGCGTGAATCCCAAGCTAAGCACGAAAGGAAAATAGTACGATGGAGTATAGAGTTATTCTTTTGCTGTGTGCTCCCATTTCCTACAGTTCCGTAACTGGTGATGCAACACTGATATTTCCCAACAAATAAAGGATCTCTTAATCTTAATAATACTGCACTTCCAGGTTCAGGTCAAAGCTAAATGTAAACAAAAACAGTGTAATTGCAAACATAAATAAAAGTTTTTATTTTACAAATGCAACTACCATCTAACTAATTCACCTCTATACAAACATAGAAAGTTGAAACCTTCAAACTTTCAACGTCAACTGTTTTAAGATAAAAAATCTCTTATGTGTGAATGCACTTATGCAGGAACTCTGTACAGTAAAGTTGTGTTCAGACCGCCAACGCTGAAACGCACATTCTCTAGTTTTCAGACGCAGGGGTCTTCAGACCAGAAGTCCTGACACGCACCGGAAGTGGCGGAAGTAGCCGGCGTGCTCTGATGCTAACAGAGTTTAGCCATTGTCAACCCTGGTTTAGTCCTGATGTAGCTCCTGTTTTGGCTGTTTACGAGTATTTTCAGTCTGGTCGCTCAGACCGCTAATGTCAGCGTGACTAGGCCTGTCACGATAACAAATTTTGCTGGACGATTAATTGTCTCAGAAATTATTGCGATAAGCGATTATATTGTCGTTCTGAGATCATTTGCATCGATTACAATGATAATGCAGGTACACCTTTTCAAAGAGACATAAACTTTTATTTTTAACAAATATTTAACGGTAGAACACAATAAATTAACAAACAACGGCGTGCCGTGGGCGGCACGGTGGCTGAGTGGATAGCACTCTCGCCTCTCAGCAAGAAGGTCCTGGGTTCGAATCCCGGTTGGACCAGGGCCTTTCTGAGTGGAGTTTGCATGTTCTCCCCGTGTCTGCGTAGGTTTCCTCCGGGTGCTCCGGTTTCCCCTACCACTAAAAATATGTACAATAGGTCTGGCATGTGCCTCCTGTACTGGCACCCCCACTCCCAAAAATAACAATTGTAAACCGCTTTGCAGTGAAAAGGCGGTATATAAATAAAGATTACTTACTACTACTACAACCAAAAACAATAAATAAAATAGACTCAGTCTCTTAACAAAAAATGACCAGGAATAAAACTGCCAGGACCTTTGTAAAGAAAATATGAAACAGATGCCTCAAATGTCAATAATTTCTCAGACTTTATGGCAGATTACGAGAAAGAAATACCAACATGTTGACTTTGTGTGGCTTAAGACAGGATCTCTCAGGAGTAGTCCCACCTCCCCACACACCAGGCGAATGACAAGTGACTGACATGTGGGTTCACCAATGGGGCGTACAGAAGTCCTGCTGCGGTAGCGCCCACCGGAAGTAGCGGGGCGGGCTTTGATGCTAACAGCTAAGCTAGCGGGTTTTTTGTGTAAAGTCCTACTCCAAGAATGCAAGTCTGCAGCACCTCTGTGTTCAGAGACCTTCTAGAGACTTTATATAACAGCAGTATGTGTTCACGGAGGTGCGCCATAAGTTTATTTTATTGGTATGGTACAGTACTTCTGCATCGGCGAACACGCTAACGCTAGCTGCGCTAGTATAGTCACTAATCAAGCCTGAATGAGAACTCAGCTGCCGGCATATGTTCACAACTACTGTGTCCCCCATTGTCAATCCTGGTTAAGTCCTGGTTTAGGTCCTAGTTTTGGCTGTATTTTGTATTTTTGAGTAATTTCCGTCTGCTTGCTAGACCGCTAATGTTCCCGTGACCACTTTGCGGCTCTCTGACCCGAGAGAGACGGGGGAAACAAACAAGCATGCAAATGGGATTTATCGCGGCCAGAAAAGTTATTGAGCAAATTTTATTTATCGTGCGATTAATTGATTTATTGACTATCGCGACAGGCCT